CACCGCGGCGACTGGCCGAGAGCAACAGTTTGCTGTCTCGCGCGCTGCCCCTCTCGAGAAGCCACGCGTCGCGCCCAAACGGGAACGCAACTCCCTGCTGGACGAACCTGCGCGGCGCTGAGGCGAACGAGACACTGCGGGCTCTCGCGCGCGCAGTGCCGTATCCTGATAACGCGGACAGCGAAAAACAAGAGCTGCGCCAAAGCGGGGGCGCAAAGTTCATGTTTCATCTAAAATCATCTGCATGGCGGTGGTGCAAGAGCGACAGCAAGACAACTCGCGCGTAAGGTGTACCTAGGAGTCGCAGGGGATGAGCAAGGAGAGAACAGATATTGGGGAGAAGCTGAACACAGGAGAGGAGAAAATGAGAGGAGAGGACAGGAAAAAGTAGAAGGGCAAGCTATAACCCTATAGCCCTAAGCCCTATAGCCCTATAGCCCTATAGCCCTATAGCCCTACAACTCTATAGCCCTATAGCTCTATAGCACTGTAGCTCAATAGCCCTATAGCCCCCTATCCCTATAGCCCCGATTGGTTTTTTCTCTTGTATCATGATATATTACAGTTGGGCACTCCGCGCAGTGAGAACAAAGTATTGCAGGGCCTGTGAAGAGGGAACTTGGAAGGATGGCTTAATGCAAAATCGTTGATGCGTCTTGGATTGCACAGGTCCTCCTCCTCCTCATCCTCCTCTTCCTTCCCCTCCCCCTCTTCTCCCAGTCCCCCCAAAAGTAATCTCAAGGGGTCTCTGGAGGTATCCAGGGACACCCAGAGGTCTCCAGAGGCCCAGAGGAGACCAAGCATTCACAGCCAAACACCAACAATCTCCTCCCCTCCATCGGTGGCCCAGAAGCCGGCGCCAACACCGATGTCGGCGGCCGTGTCCACCGAGGGGACGATCGACCCCGATGTCGGTGGTGGCGGCAATGTTCGGGCCTCTCAGGTGGCCTGAGCAGTACTGCCAACGACCTTGTCGCGGATAACCTTCCTCTGGCGGAAGCGATCCCCCGATATCGGTGTTGGTGCCGAATTCACAGAGGGACCCACGGAACACCGAGCCTCCTCTGTTTTGCCTCCCTCTTCCTGCTCCTCTTGCTCCTTCTGCTCCTCCTTATCCTCCTCTTCCTGCTCCTCCTCATGCTCCTCCTCCTCCTCCTCCTCCTGCTCCCCCCCTCTTCCTCCTCCTGTTCCTCCTCCTGCTCCCTGAGGTCTCCAGAGATCTGCCGGGTCTCTGGGGGTCTCCAGAGGTCTTCAGAGAGCAACTCGGTATCTGAAGGCCTCCACCGGAAGGGGACAAAAAAGAGCCAACAACTTCAAACAAACTTCCAAAGCCTCCATCCTAAGACGAAGCCAGGACGGGGATCACATCGGATGATAAAAAATCGAGAATCTCTGAGATGCGGCGGCTCTAGAGAACGTCTCGGGCGCCGCCGCCGAGGCCCTCAGAGCGGTCCAGAACGCTCTCAGAGCGTTCTGCAACGCTCTCGAACGGATTTATCCTCGTCCTAGCCACGCCGGACTGATTCCACCATCGTTCCCGTTCGCGCCACTTCAAGTGCACCGAGAGGAGGATCGAGTCGGACAAGAGGGGTGGTGGTACGGGGGGCTTAGCAACTCAGCTCACGTAGCTCATTTTCTAAGCGCCAGTGTGACGAGGAAAGTGCCTGGCGGCCGAATCGGAACCAGCTGCATTCGGCAGATTTCGTACAGCCCCCCTCTCCCAATCCCCCCGTTTTACCCCAAGTACAAGGTTCATTGCCGTAAAACTGTTGGAGGTTCGCGCGGATTTCTATGATCGGTGCTGGCCTCCTCCTCCCTGGCGCGCGGTGCGCGCCAGCGGTGCTGAAGGCGCCGCCCTGAACCCACAGCACCGATCCCAGAAATCCGCGCGGAACTCCAAAAGTGAACGTTTCTAACGTACACATCGGTCGGAAGAAGTAGGTAGAAACATGAAGTAAGAAAGGCGTTGGAAATAGATTGGGTGTCCGCCCGCCCGCTAAATGGACGGAACATTTGAAGCCACTCGATCACTGAAGCAGGAAGGCGCGCGCCTAAAGTAGATTGGAATATGGGACTCCAAAATTACCTGCTTTCAACGACCGATGGGCATTTTCTTCTCGGAGCAGATCCCTCCCCTCCCCCCAATTCCCACTGTTTCGTCCGTTCCGACTGCCTGGAACTCCGGTCTCCAGCGGCCGTTCGGGGCGGCCTGGGCGCCACTGGAGCGCCCTCGGCGAGGCCCGCCAGAGAGCACCCCGAGGCTGGGAAACCAGCCGCTCACCGACGAAAAGCCGCCCTAAAACATCGAACCCCGAACCCCCAACCTCGAACCTCGAACTTCCGACCCGAACGCCCCGATCCCTGACGGACATGTTGCGACACCGAGTGCGGCGCGGGCACACTGCGGCGGAGCTTGCTGTCGGCAGGTGGATGTGACTCCAGAGTGGCAGTAGGAGCCAGGGCAGGACACGAGAGTCCCACCAGCTCTGTGGGCCCAGGTGGTCTCACGATATCACTTTCGAGGAGCAATGGCATAGGGGGGGATGCATCGACCTGGAATCGGCGATACATCGCCAACAGATCGGCGATGGGCCTCAGATCGTAAGTCCGCACCCTCCTGGGCAGGCTGGGGCTGTCGGGCCCCTATCGGCGATCAATGGGCGACTGGGGGTCGATGCACCCCCCCTGTGCCTACCCCCGCATGGTTTTCGGGCCATAACTCGGCACTCCGGCGGCCGTTTGGAAAGATTCCAGCATCCCCAAAACGCCCTCGACGAGGCGCAGCTGTTGAAACAAATCCCGGGACCAACGAAGCCGCCGCGACAGAGAACCTCTTCGTTCCTGCCTATCGTTGCTCCTGACTTCTGTTCCATGCCCGAGAGCCTCTGCCGTTTCGCCTGGCCCGACCGTCGCTCCCGTTCGCGCAGCTCTCCCAGCACGGGCACCCCCGAGGGGAGGAGCCGAGCCATCTTTCTCTCGCGGCACTCGCCTCGGGCCCGTCCCGCCTTCGCGGCCGGGCGCGTGGACGTCAAGCCGGGGCCGCTCTGAGGACGTCCTCCTTCCCCTCTTCCTCCTTGCCCTCCGCCTTCTCTCCTGCGCCTCCTCCTCCTCCTCCTCCTCGTCCTCCTCCTCTTCCTCGTCCTCCTCCTCCTCCTCGTCCCCGTCCTCCTCCTCCTTCCCCTCCCCGTAATAATGTCTCTTCACTCCCCCCACTCCCCCACCTCCTCCCGTCTCCCTCCTTTCCTTATCCTCGCTTCTGATTTGTGTCTGCTGACTATGATTCGTAGTATTGAACTCATTGTTATTTGCATTGGTCGTAGTATCAATACTAGTCTGAAATTTCGATGAACAGCATTGTTGTTAGTAGCGTGAGGATTACTGTTAATGTGATCAGTAATACGACCAGCATTAATAGAAGTATTGCTAGTACTAGTAGTAAGAATAGCGCTAGTATTGCTAGTCGCATGAGACGTACTATTATTTCGTATTATCAGCTTCGAAGGTTCATTACTGATATGATTCGTATTCGTATAGTCCCTCTCCTTCTTAGCAATATGACACTGGGGAAAAATCCAAACATGTTTTATTGTGGGCTATAAGGCTATGGGGCTATAGGGCTATAAAGCTATAGGGCTATTGGGTATAGGGGTATAGGGATATAAGGCTATGGGGCTATAGGGCTATACGGCTATAGGGCTGTAAGGCTACAGGGCTATAGGGCTATAGGGCCATAAGGCTGTAAGGCTATAGGTCTATAGGGCTTTAAGGCTATAAGGCTATATGGGATATAGGGCTATTTGGGCTATAGGGATATGGGGCTCTCGGGCTATAGGACTATAGGGCTATAAGGCTGTAATACTATAGGGCTATAGGGCTGTAGGGCTATATGGGGTATAGGGCTATTAGGGCTATACGGCTATAGGGCTATAGGGCTATAGGCCTATAAGGCTATGGGGCTATAAGGCTATAAAGCTATAGCCCTATAAGGATATAGGACTACCAGGCACCTGAGCACCCTGGACGGCCACCGAAATCGGCGGCACACTTCACCTAACCATATGAATCCGCTAGGACTCATACAGAGGCAAGCTCTGTGCAGTAATGCTATTTACTGAGATTGATTTTGCTAGCCTGCTTCCTCTCCTTCTTAGTAATATTATGATAACAGATGAAAATCAAATCAACATCTTGATAATATAGGGCTATAAGGCTAAATGGTTATAGGGCTATAGGGCTATAAGGCTATAGGGCTATAGGGCTGTAGAGCTATATGGGGTATAGGGCTATTAGGGCTATAAGGCTATAGTGCTATAGGGCTATAAGGCTATAGGGCTAGAGGGCTATAGGGCTATAGGGATATAGAGCTATATGGCTATAGGGTTATAAGGGTATAAAGCTATGGAGCTATTAGGGCTATAGGGTTACAAAGTTATTGGGGTTATAGGGCTGTAGTGCTAGAGGGCTATAGGGTTATAAGGCTATAAGGCTCTAGGGTTATAGGGCTATAGGGCTACCAGGCGGGCACCCGGGCACCCCCGGGCAAGCCCGGGCAAGCCCGGGCAAGCCAGGGCACCCGGGCACCCCCGGGCACCCCGGCACCCAGGCGTGCGGCGAACATCTGCGGCAAACCTAACCTAACCATATGAATCCGCTATAGGACCCCTACAGAGGCAAGCTCTGATTGGGGAATTATTCCTCCCCACTCAGCCTCCCTCTCTTCCTCCTTGCTCATCCTCCGAGAATCCAACTCCTCCTCACTCCTCTTCCTCCTCCTCCTCCTCCTCCTCCTCCTCCTCCTCCTCCTCCTCCTCCTCCTCCTCCTCCTCCTCTTCCTCCTCCTCCTCCTCCTCCTCCTCCTCCTCCTCCTCCTCCTCCTCACTCCTCCTCCTCCTCCTCCTCCTTTATCCTCCTCCTCCTCCTCCTCCTCCTCCTCACCCTGCCTCCCCCTCCGCCTCCTCTTGCGAAACCTCCTCCTTCACCCTCCTCGCCCCCTCCTCTTGCCTCCCTCCATATTCTCTTCCTCCGGTACGCCCTCACAGCCGCTGCAGCAAGGGCGTCTTGCAGATCGGGCACACGGCCCTCTGCCGCAGCCACCTGTCTATGCAATGCTGGTGGAAGCGGTGGAAGCAGGGAAGCGTCTTCTGCCGGTCCCCCGCGCGAAAGTCCTCCATGCAGATGGTGCACGCCTCGGCGGCAAAGTAGAAGCCACCCCCACCCCCGACGCCGGGACCCCCTGGACCCCTGCAAGACGACTCCTGCATCATGGAACGCAGCAGACGACCCCCTGGCCCCCCGCAAGACGACCCCCTGGCCCACCGCAAGACGACCCGCAAGGCCACTGCCACTCGACGCCTCCAAAGGTGTTCAAGTAGCATATTCGCGCCAAGGCTTATCGCTCAACGTATGTTCGCACCCTCTCGGAGGATCGGAGGACGAGGGAGGATGGTGCACGCCTCGGCGGCAAAGGTGGAGAAGCAGCGGCAGCGGCAGCGGCTGCAGCAGCGGCAGGAGGGAGTGAGCAGAGCACGAGGGACGGCGACGAGTGCGGGCTGAGGCCGCTGTGGGGTAGGACTGCACAGGCAAATAGAGTCCTGGGCAGGAGCAGGAGCAAGATCATGCGCAGGAGCTCCGCAAGACCATGAGCACGAGGGCGAGAGGTGCCTGAGGCCTGCAGCAGGAGGTCGCAGCAGGAGCACGAGCACGAAAAGACGTGCTCGAGCTTCAGCTCGGCCAGCTCGGGCCAGCAGGTCCACCCCTCTGTCATCCTCTCTCCCGCGGCACTGGGACGACGTCGGTGAAAACCAGCAACAAACAAATCCTGGAGCATCGACCGCCCCGCCCGTGAGAAACACCGCGGCGCGAGACCGAACACGACGCGGGGCGCCCTCGCCCGAGCGGAAGGCGAGGACGGCCACCCTGCCCCAAAGCCTAACCACGCAGCTCCCGCTGGATGCCGCAACTCCACAGCACTCCGACGCGAAGGCAGCGCGGAGCACGGCACGCAGAGGGCTCACGCTGGGCGGTAGTGGTGTCTACGAAGCGTGACGTGCTCGGCAGGCGAAAGCACGTGCGGAATGGGCGCAGGGTGCACCGCGAATGTGCCTTCGTGCTCGAGCATCCGCGTCGAGTGCCCACGCGGAGGGATGGCGAAGCCCACTGTGGATCACACCGTACGTACGCTCACGGCCCCGCTCTCGCTCGGCTCGGCGAGCAGAGCAAGGCGAGCCGCGCCCGAGCGGGAGCGCGGCCTTCGGGGAAGAGAAGATGGCGTGGCACTCCGGCGAAGACCAGACTTTGGCCCTGCCGAGCGGGGCCCCACCGCCGACGGGGCCTGGCCGCGACTGCGCACACGCGGAGCCGCGCCCCGGGCGGGAGCGCAGCAGCCACCGAGGCACCTCGCGGCGCGCGGGCGAGCACGCCATGTCGCTCTCTCGCGCGCGGTCTCGCCTTCGACGGGCTCCGCGGCCAAGAAACGTGCGCCGCGCCCCGGCAGCAGCGTAGACTTTGGGGAAACAAGGCACGGCGCTGAGGTGGGAGCGGCATTTCAATCTCTCGCACGCGAGGTGCGCCGCATCTCGCTCCAGCAACGCATCTTGCGGCGTCGAGTCCAAGCCGTCCATGTCGAAGGGGAAGCGAAGACATTGCAACATGTGTGCTTGATGTCGAAACTAATGACCTTGCTTGGCCCTCTGATCGGGGCAGAGGCGAAGGGAGTATGAGCACTTGGTGGTGAATAGTAATGAAGCTAGGGCTGGGAGTTGTAGGAGTAGGAACAGGAGCGGGAGTGTGAACAGGAGCAGGAACAGTGTAGAGGTGCCAGCAGGAATAGCTCCAGCAGTGCCGGTGGGAGAACGAATCACGGTACGCAGCCAGGTTGAACGAATCACTGGACACCGCCCATGCCCACGGTCCCTCCCATCACATTGAGGGCCCATGATATCGTCGTCGTCGCCGCCACCGCCGCCACCGCCGCCGCCGCCGTCGTCGTCGTCGTCGTCGTCGCCGTCGTCATCGGTTGAATTTGATGCTGGGACTGGCGCGCGTTCCCCCCCAGCGAGCGGAGAAGACGCTCGCGCGCGGCTCCGCTGCCGACGCCCTGGCGAGAGGAGCGGAGCGAGACACGAGCCCCGCACGGGCGCGGGCAAAAACTTCCAGAGCACCGCTGCGCGGCGCTGCGGCGGAAGCAGCGTGTAGCCCTCCCCCACGCGGCCAAATGTTCGAGGAGCGCGGCGAGGACGAAGGCTGCGCCGCGCCGAAGCAGCACCGCCACTCTCGCGCAGCATCTGCGAGCTGCTTGGGCGATAAAAGAAAACCTTTTGCCAGCTCTCGCGCGGCCCCTTTCCCGCGACTCGGCGACCGAAAACCACACGCCGCGCCCGAGCGGGAGCGCCACTTCCAGGCGTGGCGTGGGCGAGGGCGACAATTCGCCAACTCAGCACTCGCACGCGGAACATGAGCGCCGCACCCATGGCGAGAGTGTCACCTTTGGGCGAGATCGGCGAGACGCTGAAGCGAGAGCGACATTTCGCCCGCTCGCGCGCGACCCTGTCGTCGACGAAGTGGCGAGCCAAAGTGCAAAACGAATGCGCGCCGCGCCTCAGCGGGAGCCAACGTCCCAGAAACAATGAGCATGGCACATGGCACAAGGCGAGTGCGACGTTTCGCCCCTTCGCGCGCGATGTGTACCCTGTCCCATTCCTGCCGCGCATCTTGCAACGTCGACGGCAAAACGTCCTTGTTGAGTAGACTTTGTTTTGGTTTTCATGTGTACATGTCCTCCCCCTAGATCCGGTGGCTATCGGCGGGCGCGGTGGCATAGTACACACATAAAGAATAAGGATGGGAGAAAGAAGAGCGTCCAAGTCGGAGTTCCGAGCCGCGTCCAGTCGCGGCGACGAAAAGCCTCGGAAAATGCCAACTCTTCAAAGCGCGAAGACCTGGTGCGTGCGCCATGGAGCCTTGCGCTCAGCAAGCGCCCCATCCACGCCCTCCCTTGGCCCATGCCCAAGTGAAATCAGTCCTTGGGCCCCCTCCTGTGCCCCTTCGGTTCGAGATGCGACCAGCCGTGGCCTCAAGGGCCCTCCAGGAAGCAAGAACGGGGCGAGACACGTCAAACGAATCCTGGAGGATTGAACCCCATCGTGAGAAGGGAAACGCTAGCCAGCCCAAAGAGGCCGCGATCTGGGCCTGGCTTGGGCTTTTCCCTCAAGGGGAAACGCCCTAACCAACTCTTGGAATCTCCCCGCCTCTTGCTCTAGCCAGAGCTTCCTGCCCCCCATGGCGCCGCCCCCACCCCTCGTGCCCGCAGCCAGGCTCTGCCAGACTTAGACACAAGGGGGTGGCGCGAGGAGGGTGGCCTTTGAAGATGGCGAGGTGCCTCTTCAGGGCGAGGGCCTCTTTATCGGGGGCGGCCAAGAGGGGGGTCCAAGAGGGGGGGGGCGCGCAAATCATGGCCGGCGCCATGTGCGCGGCCCAGGGCGGGGGCCAGGGACGTATGGAAAATAACAAGAGGCGCCATGAAATCTGTGGAGACATCATGGCCCCCGCCATGGTATCCACCCCATCCCTAGTCATCACCCCACTCTTGGCCGCCCCACTCTTGGACGGCTTCTGAGAAACCCCTGCATTCTGAGAACGCCCCCCAGGTTTCCGCAAGAGCACGCCCCCCTCGCGACCCCCACTTGTGCGCGCCGACAAGCTGGTGGCGTTCGGACCACAACTCGGCTCCCCGGAGGCCATGCGGGACGATCAGAGCACCCCCAGGGCGCTCTCGACCAGGCGCACCCGGAAAGCATTCCGAGGCTGAAGAACCGCGGGGAACCTCGATGCCTAACCCCCGATCCCCTCGCGCTAACCCGTTCGTACGAACTGCCAGCAGGCGGGCGCCTTGCAGTCAGCGGGCGCCCCGTCCACGTCCTCCTCTGAGAGAAAACATTCGGGCGGGGGGGACAGAAGGGGGGGTGGAGGACTGGCTCAGGGGGCACGTCGAGCCTGGATCAGCGACGCACCGCCGATGGATCGACGACAGGGCCGCCCCCGATAGCGAAACCGAGCGCTCTTGGGCGGGGTGGCCTATATCAGGCTCCTAATGATCCGCGATGCATGGGCGACTTGGGGTCGACGCGTCCTCGCCCCCCCCCTGGGCCGGTGCCCCACAGTGATCCTCGTCGTCCGGCTTCTGGGTCGCAGCTCAGATGCCCAGCGGCCGTTCGGGACGACCCACGCACCCCTGAGCGCTTCTCGGCGAGGCGCGGCTGCCAGAGAGCACCCCGAGGCGGGACAAAACTTCCAGGAGCCAGCAAAAACGTCCGAAAGGCCCGAAAACCTCGGCGCTGATAGAGCCACAGACGGGAACGGCGGCGGCCCCGGCAACACGCTGTGCCCTGCGAGAGGGCAGAGTGTCGCCCCGCTTTGCGGGGCGGCAGGCTGGGAAAGGCTCGGGAAGTTGACGCCTGGAAATGGGGACGGGGTCGGCGTGTCGCGCTGAAGCGTGGTCGGCCAGCCCCCCGCGGAGCGACACGCTAAGCAAACGTTCCTGACCGCATGTGGTAAGGCGTCGGTTTGCGCACAGAGAGCCCCACCTGGTAGGCCGGCTGGCCTCGACAGGCCCCCCGAGCAGCCCCAGCTGGCCTCAAGAGGCAACCCGGGTAGTTTGGGGCGGTCTCAGCACCTCAGCCCTGGGGCGCGGAGCACCCCTGGGGCGCCGCTGGAGGCGGCGCCAGGGTGTCGAGATCGGCCCAGACAACTCGGGGGGGGCCTGCGGAGGCAAGCTGGAGCTGCTCGGAGAGACTGCCGAGGCCAGCCAACCTGGCGAGGGCTGCCCGCGCGCAACCCGAAGCCTTACCGCACACGGTCCGGAACGTCTGCTGAGGGTGTCGCTCCGCCAGCTCTGGCCCGCCACATGTCGGCGCGACACGCCGACCACGTCCCCATTTCCAGTCGGGCGTTGCCAGAACTGGGTTTAGTGGGACCTGCTTCCGTGATGTGTACTGGGGGACGCCCACCCCGCCCCATTCCACTAACCGGAACTGCCGTCACCCGAAAAACACCAGCTACGGCAGACCTGGTTCAGTGATTCCAGTCCATATTTTGGGCTTCGGGGCCCAATCACTAACCGGCTCCCCTTAACCGGGGTCCTGGCTATACCCGATCCAGGCGTCAACGTCCCGAGCCTTTCCCATCCTCCCGACGCCTGTCCAGACACGCGAAGCAGACGTTCCTGGCCGTGCACGCCGGTCGGAAGGGGGGTGCAGAAGCATGTCATAGGAAGGCGTTGGAATACAGTGGATCTCCGCCCGCCCTCCGAGGACGAAGGAAGGAAGGAGAAACCACTCGGTCCTTGAAACAGGAAGGCGCCAGAAGCAGATCGGACCGTGGGGATCCAACTGGATCCAGTAAATCGTCGGCGGCGGACAAACCTCCCTTTAGTAAACCTCCCCTTCGTGAACGTGGCCAGGGACCGAAACCAACGGACCTGGACCCGCAAAAATGACGGCCGCGACGCCCTCTCGCGAACCGAAAACAACCAATCCCTTGATCGACGTGTCAGGGTAGGAGGTCTATCCACCTCCAAAATCACCCCATGAGCAACAGAGGTGAAGTAGGCGGGTCTAGGGATGGGAGAAGCAAGGCCA